CAAGCATGCTTATCATCGGTCTGTCTGCTTTTAGATGCAGGTGTAATGAATATCTTAGTGGTGTCATGAACTGCCATGGCTATTGCAACAGACAGAAACAAACATCCACCACTGAGTAAAAGTTCATAAACAGACAGGAGGGGGGTTTAGCTCCATAAAATCCTCCTTTTTTTCTTGGTATAATATAACTGTAAATCTCCACACATTTGCTGCTATCTCAGTTTTCTAATAATCCTGAAATAAGCCCTGATGATGTCTCGTGATAAGCAGACTTCTTTGTTCTGCCCGTATAATGGTCAATTTGTCAGTTTTAGCCACAGCAGAGATGAGGGCAACTGATCACCTATTCACATCGAAATAAACTGCAAATTAATTGGGTCTATATATCACTGCGAGAAAAAGTCGAGGGATCATCCTTTAGCTCTGCAGTCTATCCGGCACACCTCTCTCAGCACATTCAAATTTTTTACTTTTTACGCTACACATTGCTCAGCATTGCCATTTTCAGGTAAATTACTAATTACTAAGTTCTTCCATCTATTGTAACGTTACTGTATCATGAAGATTTCTATGGTGGACAATAACAGCCATACTTCCGAAATACATACACAGGATTTTATCTTCAAATTGTCACAAAGAAATGGTGGGGCAGAAGTTATTTAATGTTGAAAGTTAATGTTGAAATTATTGAAGGAACTAATAATAATGGAGGGCATAAAGTTTAAAACAAATTTGACTTTCAATAATAAAACTTCTCTAACAGATCCCCATTTCATTTAGTCACAGGACTTTGTGACTCGAGGATCAGTCTCTAACTAAAAGAGGAAGATGGAGAACAGTCAGGAAGTGTGGCCAAAAAAAAAGGAATTGAAATGACTTTTCATAAATTTAATTGCTTGAACACATGTGCCAATATATTAATAGAACTCAGATATAGAAGGGGAAATTATACACTGAAGCATAGATGCAATTACAATGCTTCAAACAAATTGGCAGTGACCAATCAAATCGCTTGACTATCTGGGGCAGAATGGCAGTTTTTCAAACAAGGGCTATCTGTGGAACCAGAATAGAGGGAAAAAAATTATTCTGGTACAGAGAGTGTGGATATAGGGTGTGTGTACATGGGTATCTGTGTTTGTGTGTGTGCTAAGCATATTCAAAATGATTAATTACACATTTTCTGCCTACCTTTGTCTTCTGTTTGATTACAAGTCCATTATAAAGAATTGGTATTAGGACTAGTCTCCAAAATAGGGATAGGGTTAAAGACAGAACAAGACATTTTGCTAATAATTTAAGCTTTAACAGTTCTTCTGAATTAGATCTTGTTGCTTTTGTCTTACTGCTGCCATTACTTATTAGGTTGGTTTACATTCACCTGTTATTTAGGACCATTTTCAGCTGTTTTCACAGTCTTATGTACAGAAATGCAGAAAATTAAAAAAGATCTAGTGCACTTAGCTGAGGTGGAAAAGCTAGTGCAACAGAAAACGACTCAAAATACGAATAAATCATAATGTAAATGAAGCATATGACCCCCCCCCCGCCACAACATTTATTGAGGTGACAAAAATAGCGGTTGTAGATCAGGTTTGATGACAACAAATCATCAGATCTGTGTGGAGCAATGAGGAGACTGTAGCATTCCTCAAATGAATACATGACATAAACATAAATGAAACCTAAGTCTTCCTCAACAAATTGTGATTTGTATTTTAAAGCTTCGATGGAAGCAATAAGGATCCACACTCGTCACATTTTGAATCAGGTTCACAGAGACCTTCTAGGCTTATTCCACATTAAAATAGACCCATTCTGTGCAGCATACTGCTTTGTTAGACTTGAATACATCCTTAATCATGCTGAAGTGTTCCTTTATTCCAAGGTCGGCAAAATTTCTTATTTTAACCCAAGGCAAAGGCCACTCATTGCCACTGCTTTAATGGCAGTATAAATAGACCAGGTACTCCACTTCAGACATGGGCTTAATCATAGGCCATCAGCAGCATGAACCAGCCTATTGAAACGTGTTTCTTCGCCACTGAGAGGATCTGTCTAGATGAATCTAGCCCCAAGTCCTGCTGAAAGAAGATGGGTTTCTGGGGGACATTGGGCGATGTGTGGAAGTGTGCGTGTATGTGTGTTTGTAGGGATTATATATTTGTATGTGCATGCCTGTGAAGAGGCTACTCTGAGTGGTAACACAATGAGGTTACATGGTGCATTTCACATTTCCATTAACATGCTTCCTCCATGTGTAACAGGGTCCTTTCTGAACATTTTCAGTTACATAGAGGAAAATGGAAGCCAGTTCAGGGACTGGTGTGTGGTTTTGGTTTTGCAAACACCAAACCAACCCTGCTTAAACTACTAAGAAACATTACACTGCTCTCTTCTAACAAAGTTGATAGTACTTTAGCCCACAGCACCAAGCAATGATGAAATCAATGCAATTTTCATGGAGTGGGGTGGCCTGAATACGCTGCACCCATCGAAGTCCCCCCACTGATGCATTAGGCTGTGCTGCTCGGCTCCTCTCCCCTGCAGACAGTGATGGATCTGATTCATTTCAATGGTGGCCTCCAGTGCTCACTCCCATTCGGCTGGGTGACAGTGGCAAACTGGCGCAGGCTCCCCACATATCTGCCTGGCCAACACGGCAGAGCAGGGGAGAAGGGGGAGGTGGTTGTAGCTGCCGGGGGCCTGTGTCGACATTTAACTTCTGCTTTTCTTATTTGAGGTTTGCAACTGACCTTAAATTCTTCATTTACAATCTTATCTTTTCTCTACTCTGAGTATATTAAAATTCCCTCTAGTGACTTTATGGCACCCTTTCAAACCACTAAGCCTCCTGAAAACACTGCATCTTCAGCAGTGCATGATTGCCTGTAATGGGAGTTTAATGGATAGAATCTAAAATGCACCGTTACATCTTCTTTTCCTTTTGTATCACACATGCTTTACATCTTTCTCTGCAACATCATCAATATCCTGTCTCATAGCAACTGATGTTGAAATAAATGTCAAACTATATACAAACCTGTCAAAATTTCTCACTAAATTGTGATCTAAATGGATCAAAGATGTAATAAACATTCATGTAAAAACATCATCCTTCATCCTTACCTACAGAGTTATGTAGAGTGCAATAATAAAAAATATATAGTTTTGCTGTTTCTGACTGTGGTTGTGTGACCTTAACTGTCTGCTCAGTGTCAGTCTGTCTACCTGTTTGCCTGCTGGTGAGGGATTAAAGAGGACAGGAGAGTGACTGGACCGAAGTGATAGAACGCACTGAACCTTGGGGCTGGGCTTTCCCCAGAGGGACATATGTCCTCTCCCCTAGTTTGGAGGCGGGTGGGGATGAAGGCAGAATGAAAAGAGAAAGGGGTGTAGACCAAAAGCAGCCCTGTGTTTAAAAAATGCATAGGGCTGCGTCAGTGGGGGCGTGGTGCTTCACGTGCCGGTGAGACGAAGAAATACAATCCAGGATTCCATTTGGAGTAATAGATCCATCCAAATCAAGGTTATATGATGCAAAAAGGCTGCACACTGGTTTAGTATATTATAAGGGAAGGAAAAGTTACCTTGGCTGCAATAATTTGAATCTATCATCACAATGATTGTGAATTAAACAGCAGAAATATGATAGCACACTGTAATCAAACCCTGAGCTAATATAGAAATGAGACTTGTTGGGTTTTATCTATTTACCATTTTGTATTATTTTCAAAATAAAAAGCATCCCAGCAGATGTATACTGGGATCTCAATGCAGAATTGAGAAAAACGTTGCAAGAAGCTATGGTGAACAGTAATGTACAGCAAATATGAGTATTCAACTTCAGTCCCTGGCTGTATTTATTCCATGTTGTCCCAACTATGGAGTATCACAAGTTAGGAAAGGAGGTGAAAAAATGTACATTAAAACAAGAAGAAAAACAAGCGCACAGGGCGTCATGGTGAAGATGTGTGGTGAGAAGAGCGAGCGAGACAGAGCGCTCGGAGGATGACGGCTAGCAGGGAGGGTGAAGGGCAGAGAGGGAGACTGGGCTCAGCATGGTACTCCAAACTGACACACAGCCACGGGACACAGGCTCCAATTAGAGTCAGAGCAACGCTAATCAAACCTGATCTACAACCTCTGGCTGCAGGGTGAGTGAACGTGTGTGAGTGTGTTGAAGTGTTCACACATAAATCCACAATGCTGAAATACAGTCACACTGTGCTTAGCATTTCACATTCTGCTAAATCATGTTTGCATTCATCTTGGCTTTTACTCCAGTATGTGAAAGGACAGAGTTTCTCTTAAAGAAAGGTAGGCTGGGATCAGTTCAGTATCACAATGGGCATTTTTATAAAGTTTAAATCCCCTCATTTTCAATATCCTTGACAATTGCCTAATGACAAATATCCACCTAGCCGCAATACATATCATTTTATCTGCCTATCCTACTGCGTTATTCCAAAGGCTTGTCAATCATAAGTCAGTGAAGTGCTTCTTAGATATCATATCAAGGCCCACCATGGGCAAAGCAAATCACACAGAGAAATGGGGGAAATGTGAGACGATATCGCCTATCTGGCACAGGAAATGGGACTGTTTGAAGATTTGCATGGTAGTGTGGTTGCTTCATAAATGTTCTCCTTTAGCTATCTCAAAGCAACAAAAACCAATGGGGCTGGGATTACGGCCAGTGGCAAGGTAGAGGAAAGCCACTCTCATTTATCATCAAGTGCAGTTGAAATGTACCTATCCCTCATCTTCATTCAATATGTCTTCCACTTGTCTACAGACAGTGCCTTATACTGTATGTATGTACACAAGGGGGAAGTGAAATGCACATTCCATCTTGGAGTTATGATAGCTCATGATTAGAATACTAATAACAATATCTGATTAAAGAAGTAAACAAAGGCAGACCAATTAAATCAGATCCTTGTGATGCCAATTAGCCCCAGCACATTAGTGTGACTCTTCCCTGACAGTGAGGCTACCTCATTGTTTTTGGACACCAGCCGCGCCACAATGAGCTGAATCATCCCTCGCTTGTTGCCCTCTACAGACATGGATTTGCGAAGTGTTTCCATGGCGTCCTGGTTGGTCATCCCATGCAATGACTCCCCGTTGACTGCAATGAGTTGATCGTTAACACGTAGACGCCCATCCTGCAGACAAACACCATTAAGGGAAAGTTAGACTTATAAAATACTTCTGAGTACAGTAGTTTTCAACCCTAACAAATACTGGGGTAAGATCATAATATTATTTCCCTATTCACTTTCTCTGGAACACATTTAAATGTGTTGTAACTCTCTGGTTTCAGACAAACTGTCCCACACAACTGGTATTTATGAACACTTAAAGTGCAAGGAAACATTGTTGCCCCAAGGAAAAAAGTCACCATGACAAGGACTTTGAACCCACGCAGCATGATGGTCCATCTCATCATGTGCTTGCATGTAGCTCCTGAGTTAAGGTAATGACCAGAGTGTGGGTGGGTGGGTGGGTGCGAGTAGTTACTTGCCTTGCTAGCAGCACCTCCATTGATAATGGATTTCACAAAGATGCCCAAATCGGTGTGGTTCTCCTTGGACCGGTTACCCTTGACGCTGACCCCCAGGCCTGCTGAGCCCGAGTCATTCAGAGGGATCTCAAAGGTCATGAACTCTTTTGTACCATCAGGGGTTAACACCATGTCATCTTCCTCTGGCTGCTGTAAGGAAAGAGAGAGTGTCTTTTTATTACATGAGTTGGCTTTCCAAAAGAAGAAAAGAAAAGTGAATATTTTTCCTCGCTCTAGAACTGCTGATGTGCTAATAACTTTTTAAAAAAAGCAAAAAAGAGACACAAAAATCTACATGACTCAACTTACAAACCAAAGTTGGCAAACTGTTGTTGAGCCCAACTACGACATCATTTTGCATTCAAATGGCTGTGTGAAGTATCTAACTTTAACTTTGGTGAAAAGACAGAAAAACAAAGAGAACAAAAAAAGATAACAGAGACTAGTGGAACAAAAATTGAAAGAACAGGGATGGTGAATGACAAGAAAATGGAAAGCAGGCGGGAGACAAGATAAAGAGGAGAAAGATGAGGGGAGCAGGAGAAGAAAGCGAATGGATGGCAAGCATGTCACACATCTCAGGGCTGTCATCGTCAATTGGCCATACTGTCTAGCCGAGCGCTGCTAATTCCGTTCCACCGTCATGAGCTTGGTGTAGGAACAGTGGGGACAGCGGAGAACTTTGAAAACGCCAGGTAGCAATTTGGCGCTCAAACAACAGTGGCTTCCTTTGAACAACACCCCTTTGAAGGATAATTGTGACACGTTAAGAACCCGACCCTCCTTCCCTGTGCGATCCATGGGCCTTTTGTTGAAAATTACCATAGTAGCGTTTTGTTGCTGGGCCGGTTCTGCAGATCCTCATGCATGGTACACAAAAAATGGTTCATTTCAGCTGCCAGAGAGGTGTGAGAGAGTTACTGCTGAGTGTTTAACAGCCAGCGCGACCAATTCAGCTGGAAAATAGTCCATCAAACTATCACTCCAGTCTCTTTTCTGACAATTTCCACTGGTGTCTATCAAAGAGCATCTGTAAAAAATAACCAAAGGAATAGTATTTGTGTATTTTACTTCTCGCTTGCAGCTAAACAGAAGGGGAAAAGAGGTGTGAAGGAAAGCTAATGGTGTAGAGAAAACACCAGAGGCATCAAAAAGCTGGCAGTTTCTTCAGCCAAAACCTGGAAAAGGTATAAGAATAAATAATAATTACCATTCAGTGGTACAGTGCCTACCAGAGATTTCTGAGCTATAGCCAAGATAAAGTAAGTGAGGAAATGTGCTGAAACCAAAAGCACTGATCTCAGTCTAGTTGTTCTTCCCTAACAGTTTGAAAATTAGACACTGCTTCGTTCTCTGTATATTTCCAAGAGGAAGTAACACACCTCTGCCATTGGCCATTGAGCTGCTCCACTTGGGTTCTTGGGGGTTAGGTTCTTTGCGCAAGGGCACCTTGGAAGCAGTTGTTTAGGAAATTAGTGTGTTTCCCATTCACTTTACCCGCAGACGTTTATATTCAGCAGATAAAAGCTGACAACTGTCCGATCAGAAGCCCGCTCCATAGGAAGCGTGAGAGCAGTGCTGTAAAACTGTGATTAGTCAGATTTGTACTGTACGTGCGTAGTTATTGCCATGGCAGCCAAATCCACATGAACAATACTGGCAGTGAGAGCAATCAACCCCAGAAACCCACCCCAAAACCTCTTTAAATAGACTCACATCAATACATACGCGTGCACACACACAGCCAGATGGATGGCAGCCAGGTGTGTGCCCTTCACAGCTGCTCGGATAAAGAGTGAAGCAGAGGAAAGAAGGGAAAGACAGAGCATAAGGTGGGTTTTTTTTCCTTTTCTGAGGCTGAGGAGTTATTAGGATGCAGCGGTGCGTTCAGGTGGAGGCTCTTTTCAACACCCTCTGACTGAGCCCCTATTCTCCAGACGGCCGTCCTATCTGCCCCCCTTTCTTTCTTTTTGCTTTTCTTCTTCTGCTTTCAAAATGGCAGTACACCTGTCTGTACAACTTGCCAACTGGGCTTTGTCCGTGACTGGACCCCTAGTAAATGCAGACCGCTGGAATCCATTTAAGCGCGCTGCATTTCAGCACCTCCGGTTCTATTACAGAAATCACCGGCACTTGTCAGGAAATTGCCCCCTGCTTTTCCTCGGACAACTGAGCGAAGCGGATAGGGGACAGAAAACAAAACAAGTGAAAAACAATTTGTTATCCAATGCAAGGGTAGATATAATGCATCAACAATGTCTGACATCCCATTATTGAGCTTGTAAAGACATAATGTCAGAATTTATATAAGCTTTGACGGCTGTTATATTGCACCTTAATGCAACTTGCGGGTTTTGATCAGTTGGTTTCCAATGCAGGCCCATAGCAACGCAGCACAAACATACAATTTCCACTCTGAAAAGAACACTCATGGATGAATGGCCTTGTGCGTCATTGGCAGGGTCAGTCTTTATCTTTAATGAAGATGTTTTATCAAAATAAAATAAATAAATAGTGGCTGTGAGTTATGTCCCTGGAGAGGCTTTTAGCCCAGGAGTTGAAGATAGTAATACACTGGATTAAAAAAAATACTTTGGATGGACCCTGTCTGAGCCCGTGTGCGTGCATGAGTGTGTGTAAGTGTGTGTGCGTACACTCTCTTCCAAAATGATGACAGAATAACCACCCACTCAGAGCTGTGTTCCGGGAATAGCGGGCCGAGGCAGAGAATGAGAGAGCAGTGTAACATTTTCATCAGACAGGAACAAGCGCCGCTAGCCAAGAATGAGTTTGTCAGGCTGCTTGACAGACCTCGTTGCACCGATTTAGCTCAGGCAGAGCTGGTTTCAACTACCTCTGAACAGGAGAAAAAAGTAAGTCAGCTCATTGTTCCAAGCCCTATGTATGCACCTGGGACAGACAGCACAAAGGTACTGACAATAGATGAACTGATGTAAAAACACTGAAAAGGCTGCATGCTTAAATCAACTTCAAAAAGCACCAGGAAAAGGTTTGATGCAAAATATGTCTGTGTTATCAGCCAAAATCCCAAATTGTTCACTGCGACATCTTGGCTTCAAACAATTTTTTTTCTCAGGTACGGTCAAAAAACCTTCTGCACTAATGATGGCTGAATGTCTCCAACACCTGCATCCCTACAAACTGCTAAAGCCAGGAACAAAGTCTACCTGACTGTGAAGACACTTGGCCTCACACATTTAACAAGAAACATTATTTGTAGATTGCATTAGGGAAGTTGACTTCTTCAGAGTGCTGGATACACCGCATGTCCTACATTCCTGGGTTGTGTGAGGGAATGTGAAGCGAGTTCAGTAGCAGACTCCATTGGGAATGACGACCATGGGAATGAATAGAACTTTTTTACCTGCATTTCTATAATGTTTTTATGCTGCTCCATATAGCAACTTCCTCGAATGTTATGACATGTTTCCATTCTGTTTGTTTTCAAGAAGATATTTTGTGGCACCTCTGAACTGATTTTATTTGGCACTAAAGATTTAAATCTCCAGGTATTGTGTTATTACTGCTTGTGTAGATAAGTATTTAAAATGCTTGTCTACATTGTGTGTACAGATAAAAATGTGTTTATAAGTGCTCTTACACTGCAATAAAGCTGCCACTTGTCCATGTGAGTCATCCTGTTTTTCAGAGTACTCTCTACAGTCAAACTTGTTGTCATAGCCAAACCACATGACATTACTGTATGCCATTTCTTGTTTGAAAAGAAGAGGTCCAGATAGTGTGTAATGTTGCATCACATGTTTTAAAGTGAATAAAAAATCCAAAAGATGCCACGACTGGCTGCAAATATTCAATGTTGTTCAGGTACCAATCATTGAGGTCAAACTTCATACTTAACCAATTTTCCGTGGAGTGGCTGTAATATCATTATTATCATCATCCCAATAGCTCAAGTGACTAGCCACTTGGCCAGCTCATCACAAAGGCCCATGTCGTTTTCTTTTTGCTCTCTGACACAGCCATGCAGTCTATTATACGATTAAGCCCTTTATTAATTAACACTGTGATGGGGTAGCAGCCATTCATTACAGTCCATTGTCCTGGCAGGGGAGGGCGACAGAGGCAGCATTTGAGCAGAGACACAAGCAGGTGAGTAGAGGAGGGCAGAGAGAGGAAAGAGTTGTTCATCAGTCTAGCAACAGAACCCTGCCTGCTTAATAGGCCTTTTTGTTTTGTTTCTACCTCGCTTAACTCGTCACGTGCTAATAAGAAAGGTGTGCTGGATGTGTGTAGGTGTGTGTCAGAGAAACAGAGCAATAGAAAAAAAAACAGCGAGATGCAAGAAAGAAGAGAGAGAGAAATAGAGAGTGCAAATGAATCACAATTACTTCTATTCACACATAACTCTGAGTTCTCCGCACATCACTGCCTAAAACAATTAACACTGCTGGAAACTTCTTTCCACACTTGGCCCAATTTGGCGACATAAAGGTCATTGGAAATGAATTTAAAAGGGCTAAAAGAAATCAGCCATGGGTGTAATTGCAAAAGTGGTGCACGCGTGATAAGTATTGTAACACAAATTTCCTTTGGCGGTGTTTCTACTCGCAACATTTTCTGACAAAAGGGGCCGAATATTAAATACCTCTAAGCCTAAAAACAAATCCAGCCTTTTCCAGGCACAATGAGGGGTTGAGAGCTGTTACACAACACTAAAGGGCATGAAGCGCACAGCTGGCAGTGGCAGGTTTTAAGTGTTTGTGAACTAACATTACATAGTCTTCACTGGGCAATCCAGCAGTTTTTGACTCAGCGCTGACAAACTGGGACTGCTACCCTTTGGGGATTTTCTAATGAGAAAGCTCATTTGGCTCATTAGCAGAATAAAGTCTGTTTCTATGAGGGCATCTGAGGCCAGATCTATCTACATCACTGCAAATGCATTATGGCTACTGGCTATCAATGAAGACACTGAGTGGATCTCACAGTGAGCAACTGAAAGCAGAGACATATGCAGGGTAGGCTTGACACTAGATGTTTCTGTGGGCGATTTAGGAAGCGATTACATCTAATCAAAGAGAACATGAAAAAATAAAAGGTGACTTTCTAAGTGTACTTGGCAACTGGGAATGTTTATAAAGGTGTTACAGCGGAACCAAAGTATAGAC